GTGAGAAGAAAGGGGAGGTTACATTTTTTTTCTTTCTCTTTTTAAACTTTTCTTCTCCGTTTTTCTTTTTTCCTGCAATTTTTTTTGTTTATAGTTTGTATTAGTTTTATATGTATATGTAATGTTCAATAAAATTATTTTTTTAAGAAAAAAGAAATGTTAAAGATGGAACCTGAGCTGTGCATATAATTCATTGATCCTTTATTGAGCTGCACCTTCCTTTTTTTTCTCTACAGCTGGGAAATCCCTATCAAGGAATCAGACCAATAGTTTTATGAACTAAGAAAGTTCTCTCCAAGGGTAGTCTCCACCTGGCAGCTTCCAGGGCAGATTTGCTGCTCCTGCACCTTCTGCCAGCTGGTTAACTAGCTGAACTGGTGTTAAGGTTGTCATGCAAATTCAAAGAGCTGTGTGTGCAAGTAGGTGGATGAACGGCTGCCAATGCGCAGTTCAGTACAATCTGTGTGGGATGCAGCTAAGGAGGAAGTACAGTCATGTGTAATCATTCATGCACCAAGGCGTTAAATTGTGACTTGGGAATGAACATGATTAATGGGGGTGGCTGAATGTCTAGCCCATATAGGCTAGCAAGCGTCTTTCAGATCTGCAAAATGCAAATGCTGGGAAAAAATGGCGGACTGCATTGTTTGGCAACCCCCATGAAATGGTCGTTCGACCCCAAATGGGGTCCTGACCCACAGGTTGAGAACTACTGTCCTAGGCTGTCTCACAATTCTGATAACTAGTGAATGCATTTACCGTAAGCATTTAAACTGTTCCTTTAAATCAGTGGTTCTCAACCTGTGGGTCGGGACCCCATTTGAGGTCGAACGACCATTTCACGGGGGTCACCAAACAACGCAGTCCGCCATTTTTTCCCCCTTTCCTTAGCTGTGCTACTCCCTTTTATTCTATTGGCTTTTGAAAGCCAATAGAATAGACTCTCTTGAATAGAGTCTAATTCTATGGGCTTTCAAAAGCCAATAGGAATTGTCCAGACTGTCTCTGCCCTGCTGAGCCCGCCAAAAGTCCCATTCTGCAAACGGTGCTGCAAGTTGTCTGCAGTGAAGGCGAGCTGTCTGGAAGTTTCCACCCCTCCCTGCTGAGCAACTACTAAAAATGTAAGTAAAAGAGGGCCAGGGGTGGGAGGTGGCAGGCTGGCGGGCACAGGGAGGGTTGCTGGCGCGCATGGGGCCCCGTGGGAGCCTTATCTCCCTTGGGCTGGGCCAGCTGGTGGCCCAGCCAGTGGTCGGCCTGTGCCATCTCTGCCGCTTGCCAGCTACGCCTCGGCCCGTGCAGGGGGCGGCACCACGCATGCGCGGCACTCCCGGGCAGGGAAAATCCTCGACTTACAACCGGTTGGGTAGTCCTCAACTTATGACCGGTTGGGTAGTCCTCGACTTACGACCGGTTGGGGGTCGGGGCATTAAAAAGGTTGAGAACCACTGCTTTAAATAATTATAATGCATAATTATTATACTAATTATAATTATACATAATTTAGGCATCAAATATGCACAAAAGCACATATCAATATGTTGTTGATGAAAGGTTAGGATGTAGCACTGATTTTATTTACTTTGTATTTTGTAGCAGAATACAGCATTAATGCATAAAATTCACAAAATGTATAAAATGTACAAATAGCATATAAAATGTATATCAAAATGTAAAGCAGAAGTGAATTATTATAATACAAATGATGAGTAAAATTATGAATATAATTAAATTATGTATGGACAGTTACAAATGATCAAGAAAATTAAACACAAAATAGATGGGTCTTGATAAGATAAGATAAGATAAGGTAAGATAAGGTAAGGTAAGGCAAGGCAAGGCAAGGCAAGGCAAGGCAAGGCAAGGCAAGGCAGGACAGGACAGGATAGGATAGGATAAGGTTGGGTAAGGTAGGGTAAGGTAGGTAAGACAAGACAAGATAGCCTTTATTGTCATTTTTTTTACTGTAGGCACATTGGCACACATTTTAAAAAAATCTATTGCCTGCTCTGCTCTCCTGGGCAAGTGGCAGCTGCAGCCAAATATTCTTTCTCATAAGTAAGGGGAAAAGCCATTTTTCCTGCATCTTTTCCTGTTGTGGATGTTGATGAGTAATTGCAGAATTGGCTGAAATGGAAATATTTTGTTCAATCAATAAAGGTACATCTTATTTATTTATTTAGCGTATGGCATTGCCATATAGGGGCTAGCAATATACAGCATATTAACATTTCACTTAGATTTAGTAAAACACAATAAAATATAAATGTTTAAAAGATCTATGTCCAAATACCAACGTCTAGGCCATCTAACCATTTAAGCACAGTGTGGTTTATAAAAGAATGAGATACTGGACCAGTATATGCCCTCAGTTTACTGCCAGTCACTATGTAACATACAGCTTGATGTGGGACCCTGCAGTCATATTAAGGGGAGAATATACGTGAGTGCCTAGGACTATGATAATAGTACCAGTCAATCCACCAAAGATGGATTCAGGGGATTTAGCTTCGGATTAAACTGATTCAAACTCACAAATCTGCATATGTATTTTCCTGTCGCAATACCAGTAAGAGGTTTAACACAGAAGGCGGGACAAGAAAAAAAATATTGTATCGTTCTTCTAATTGACCACTTGGTGTCTCCCTTCTCTCAGTGTATGCTAAAAGATGAATGCTAAGAGAGCTTTTTACGACGAAAATTGAATAATAGTGCAAAAGACGTTGTGCAAAACACTTTCAAGTCTCCTCCAAAAGGCATTACAGTAATGCATTAAATGTTTAAGAATGTTTAAAATATGCATTACTTTTTCAAACTGTCCCTCTTGACCATTAAAACATATGTGGGAGTGTTCAACAGTTCAACACAAGAACTATACATATTCTCTCCTATTATTGATATGTATAATTGTGAAGTTAGCAATAATAGTGGCTTCTTCTTACTCACTCTGTCTTATTATTTTGTGTCCTAAATTGATAAGGTTAATACTATGAATTTGAAAAAAATGCTGAAAGGGGTAAGGACAAACCATACCCATATGATTGCTAGGAAAATATTTTCACCAACTCAATTTGAAGGAGATTTTAAGTGAAAGTCAAAAACCATTAAGATTCTCATATTAAAACCATTAATAATAATAAAAATAGTGGCAACTAATATCATCTTTGCCAAATGTTGCAGTTTGGCCCGGGGATCGCCTATAAAAGGGGCAGGGAGACTTGGGCGTTGTCGGTGTCTTGTAACCAGTATGCTGAACAGAAATAAAGAGGTTCCTGAGAACTACAACTGCTTCTCGCATCATTGCCATTTCACTGAGAACTTAACAATCTTGATAGAGAGTGGCTGGATTTGCACAATGATAGGCTAAACTAATGTGAATTTAGGTACTTTGTGGTTTTAAAAATAGATAATAAACTCAGATTATAAACCCATTGCTTGGTCTCCAATCCTGGGATTTTCTCACCTAAAACCTTTGAAGTATTATTAATACTAAAATATGTTTTGAACAAATCCACATTAATGGTATTTTAAATAGGACATTATACATAGTGTTATTAGAGTGAATAAGGATACTTATTGTGTTTCTTACAATTTTGAGATTTATCTAACTAGAGTTTTTTTTTCTGTTTATTGAACACCTCTGAATGTTTAAAAGAAGCTGTTTGTTAACTTCATAATGATGATGTTGATGTTATCCATTTAGTTGTGTCCAACTTTTGGTGATTCTTTGGGCCAGGTCTCTCCATATCTTCCTATCTTGCACTGCTTCTTTGATATTTCTCTATGCTCTGGCTGGTGTCAGCTTTGATTGTATCCAGCCATCATGTTCTTTGGCAGCCTGATTCCCTTTTACTACTAATTCTTCCCAACATATGTGCTTTCTCCATGAATTGCACCACATGACATGGTCAAAGTAAGTGAGAAGCAGTTTTGAGATTTTTCCTTCCAGTGACATGTCTGGTGTTATGAGCTCCAGTACTTGCTTGATGGTCACCTTAGTTGTCCAAGGAATACGTTGGAGCCTTCTCCAGCACCACAGCACAAGCGAGTCAATTTTCTTCCTGTCTTGCTTATGTTTAAACTTTCCAATACAGAAGTAAGAAATGGTGCAAGAGACATTTACCCATACTGATGTAGCATCCATAACTGTAATAGCTTGTGAACTGGCTCTATCAATAGATAGAGTGAACTTCATTACTCCTTGTGGACAAAGTTTGATGCTTTATTTTGAGCAAAATTTTGTTCTTTTGGTCGTGTGTGTGTGTGTGTATGTGTGTGTGAAAAATCAAGGACCAGAAAAAATATCCTTGGCGATATTCCTGGAAGTATACTAACCATTTTGGGTATATTATAATGAGTTTTGAAGATAGAATTACAATGCTTTTCAGCCACACTTTTTAAACCAATCACATTGTCACAGACCCTGCATGTGTATGTGTTGAGTTCCATTTTTATGTCATAAGCTAATTGGTTTATGTATTGGTGGAGTGCATTAATAAATTTCCCATTTGAAAAGGAGACATATAGCAATAGCAATAGCACTTAGACATATACCATTTCATAGTGCTTTACAGCCCCCTCTAAGCGGTTTACAGGGTCAGCATATTGCCCCCAACAATCTGGGCCTCATTTTACCAACCTTAGAAGGATGGAAGGGTGAGTCAACCTTGAGCTGTCAAGAATCGAATTGCCAAACTGCTGGCAATCGGCAGTCAGCAGAAGTAGCTTGCAGTACTGCATTCTAACCACTGTGCCACCATGGCTCTTGTAATTTCAGAATTGTTTAATAATTTGATTGTATTTGGCTATGAAGACATCACATTTCAAGGCTCTGGGATAGGAGCTGGGGATATATGATTCTAGATAATGCTAAATTCCAAGCATAGCTCATTCTCGTTCACATTGGCTGAGATTGCTGGGAAATGTAGTTCAGCAATAAATGAAGGCCCAAATATTCATGACACCTGCCGTAGAATTTCAAGAATGACATTAATATTTTCATATCTCTTCCCAAGAACAAGTAAATGCCCAATGACTTTATTACAAACATGTTTACAAGAAATGCAACCTATTATCTTCCAGATATTTTCAGATGAAAAATTATATAAGATCTTCTCACTGGATCCTTTACTTAGAACTTAAGAAAACAGTAGTCTCCAAGATGTGGAAAGCACCAGATTTTCTACTGCCCCCCCCCCCCGTTGTCATATTCCCTTTTGTTTCTATCTTTTCAACCCTCACAACCAACTAATATTTTACATTCATTTCTCTTTCTTGTGTCCTTCAGACTGCATGCAATTTGGTCCTCAATGCCATCACAGGATTTGCTTCCCTGTGGATAAAGCAGAGGATGAAGAGGTCACTTGGAGGTAAAACCCTGCATATGTACTACCCATTTCTAGAGACAATGGACTTCAGCAGAAGCTATATCCAAGGCCAGTTATGCTCTGATTTTTCATACTCTGGTGGCAGTTTGTATAAACTGCCCTCTCCTTGATGTGACTGGGGTTTCATCTTGTAATTGATTACTTCCTCCCTCACCAATATCCTGCACTTCCTATTTCTTTTGGGCCTTCACTGCATCCAGCTTCATCAACTTTCTAAGAGAGAATCTAACTAATAGCAATATAAGGGTCTGTGGCTCAGATTCTGCATATTCTTGTGCTAAACTGAAAAGTGTAAGGCCACAACCTTCAGCAGTTTAAAGCCTGCACCTGGTCCTGTATGGCATGCCAAGGACTAGAATCTAAAAAATAGTGGGCCAAGGTTCTAATTTTTAAGGTTTTTTTCCAGCATTCTTTGAGATAGAATAGTGCCTTATATTTCTGCAAAACATAAGGCAACTTTTTTGCCCTGTAGCCCCTCCCCCTACAAATCTCCCATATCCATTCCCTCCTCCCCATCCCACCCCCCAAAAAGTAACATGTGCCTTCAGTCACTTGGGGAAATAGCAAAAAGATTATTGGGAGCCATACTTTTTCCATCCAGAATATCCAGTACAGTTGTCATCAATTGAATAGAAATATTGTCATCTATAAGAATTCTCCATAATCAAGTGCTTTCTTTCTTTCTTTCTTTCTTTCTTTCTTTCTTTCTTTCTTTCTTTCTTTCTTTCTTTCTTTCTTTCTTTCTTTTTTGTGCTAATAGTCACTGCTGTACATTGTTAGCCTGAAGAATAGAGAAGAAAGTCAAATAAGGGTCTGTGGAGAGGCTGGCAATTTGTTGCTTCCTCTAGAACATGTAGAGAATGGCCTTCCCCATGCTGGGGCCCTCTGGACCTTTTGGAGCTTCAATTCCCAGAACTCCGGGTCAGCCTGACCATGCACATCAGATTGAGGAAGTATGGAGCGGAATAACAAAGCTGGGCCTCCAGTGTAGCTATATCATTCACTGTTTGTAGGTTTGGAGAACACAGGCAGCTGTGCAAAGTTGTCTTTTACAAGGTTGCTAGGCTGATTAGCATCAGCAGAAGCTAAGCAGGTTGTTTTTGTTTTACAACCTGGACAGGCCCAACTAAATCTGGAAGGCCACCCTCCCTGCATTTTCGGCTGCGAGGCAAGGTGAAGGCCATGGGATCTGGCCATCTGTGTGCCTTAGCATCCCAGAAGCCTCCCTCCCTTCAGCAATCCTCCTCCAGTTCTTGGACAACTCCCGTGTGCTTTGGGGAGAAAACAAGCTGAGCACATCTAAATCATGAAAGAGAAAGAAAGTTCTCTGAAGCTCAAGGTAACAACAAAGAACAGCTGCATCCAATTCCCATGTCTGCCCTTCTCTTCTGGCAGGACTGTCCTGTACCCAGCAGTTGGGGGGGGGGGATGTTGAAATAAAGAAGGGAGAGCAGTAACCTGCATCAACCAGCCCCAGCTAAGAAGCCTCGACTCCTTACATGGGAGAGAGGGGGAGGCCATGGAGTCTTGCTGTCAATGAAAGGCATGTTACAAATCTTGATTACAAAGGCAAATAGAACAGCTGGGAAATTAAATCCATACTGATGCATGCATATGCAGCCATTGGTGAATGAACCTCAATCCACTGATGAACAAAATCAATAGCCAGCTATGTCTTAAGACTCTAGCAGAATCAGCTGACAGTTGGTGACAGATTTACTGCTTTGTACTGAGTTAGAATAGTCCAGGCCAGATTTGCTGAAACAGACTGGCAGTCGCTGCCTGGATTTCTACAGGAGGGACTGAACCTGTGCTCTTTTGTCCCTATAGCATGTACTGAACTGCTGAGTTATTGCCTGGAAACCAACACTGATGAGGAGCATGTGAAATAGCTGACTGGATTTATGCTGTTGAAGGTGGAACAGATGTCTCAGAGGGCAGAACAAGAACCAATGATTGGACATTGTAGGCTATACATTATGCAAAACATTTTAGTATTGAATGCTGTGCAAAAATCGACCGTGTGATCTTTAATGATAATAGTTATACCATTTCTGGCAAATGCCAGTTAGTTATTAGGGTTGCATTTACGACCTGCTTTCTACATCCATTGGAGGAGGGGGACTAGAGTAATTCCAAGTTCTTTTCCAACTCTATAAATCTGGGTGTACTAATGGTAATACTACTACTTACCTAGAACATACAGTGCTAAAATCTTCTACACAATAATGAACTGACTTGTTGCATGTTGCCTTCATTGCTATCAGGGAGCAGCAGCAACTCATTAAACATCAAAACTTTCTAAGAGCTCAGCTGGATTAAGACAAAGATTTATCTAGTCCCTAATCTTCTTTTCTTCAGTGGCCAAGTAATGTCCCCAGAAAGCCCAAAAGCTGGACACAGAAACAATGGTGTGGCAAATATATCCAGATGCATGTTGCCCACCCGGACCCCCAACTATAGCCTAATATATTATGAACTAATGGTAAAAATAATTTAAAAACTTTTAAACTGTCAACACATCTTGTGACAATGAATTTCATAGTTTTTTTAAAAGGTGAAGGGGCTTATAAAAGTGAAATGGCACACTAAGATAATACTTAATACATATATTTATCTGGTCTGCACCCACTGTTGAAAATGCAAGTGAAGAAAGGGTTATATGGATTGTTACCATCAATCTTCTATCTTTTGCAGGTTTTGATGAACTATAGAAAAACCTACAAATCAAACCTCACAGGAAGTATGTACAGATGAACATATACTGCATAAATATAAGTACCTTAATAAAATGAACAGCCCAAAGGAATCTATTAATGTGAATGAATGAATGAATGAATGAATATAAAAGGTAGGGAAAACATGCAGGTGAAGCAATGCCAAGTGATCTGTTACCACATAAATGGTAACTTCAGTTGGCTGAAGTGGCAAGAGTGGAGAAATATGATGGTAGATTTACCTTTAATTTAATTCCAACAAAAAAATTCTCTGCTTGAATAATAAACATTTGGAGATTACTGAAAAAAATATCATTTGTGTCAGCAAAATGCTGAGCTTGGCTGAAGCAGAAGAAAACTAGGCAGAATTTTGCTGGCCATGGGTTTCCTCCGATTGAGTTAAGGATTTCCCCTCAGAAGCCACTTGTGAGGTGAATTAATCTCCTTATTACTACATCCTGTCAAGAGTGTGGCCATTTGTTTCTGATCCGTGAAGGGGCAGGTTCCAATTTGTCTTGCTGGTGACAGGAGCAGCACTTCATGGGGAAGGGGCATTTACAAAAAATTGAGTGAAAGCTTTCCACTCCTGTTATTCTCATGTTAGAGTAGACAGAGATTTTTTTAAAAAAATGTATTTGCATGCTTTTTTCAAAACATCCAACATTAACTAAAAGTTACCTAGGTAGCATACAGGAAGCACTTCAAACCTTATGTAACTAGAAAATGGAAAACAAGCTTAAAATTCACAGTAAAAAAATTAGAAGGACTTACATGTTTTTAAAAAGGATTAATCCATGAGATTGTTTTTCAAAAAATCTTTGCCTGGCACTAAAAAGATTTCAAAACATACCTCCCCACCTTTCACCTACAATCAGGCCCACTGGTGAAAAACCTATGTGATGTGGGTTGTATCTTGAGGTTTACATTTAATCTGAGTTCCAACAGGTGGCAGCATCTGGCCAAGCTTGGTTGACCATAAGGAACACTAAGCGAGTTCAGCTTTAGTCCTAGAATGAGAGACCATCAGGAAATCTTAAAACCGTAAGTTAGACTGGGAAGTCCAGAAAACATTCCAGGAGCTGGCGGTGTCATTTTTAAAAATGTGTGAAGTAATTTCCATTATTGAGCCTGCATGATCTCTCACAGCCTATCACATGGCTGGCAAGATGCTGCCTTTGCAGAGCTCTATCATTTCAGACTGCAGTTGGGCTCATCTCAAATTTGTTTCTTCTCACATTTAAAAAAAATGAAACTAAACAAAGAGTTGAATATAAAGACTTCTCTATAAGTATAAATGTTTAAGATCAAAAGGTTTAAATGTTGCTCTATGCAGGAACAGCATTGCTCACTATCTCTGATGATTTAATAGCACCACGGTCTGTAAACTGCTGGAATCTGAAAGCAAAATAAAAATAAGTTCTAGAGGATATCAGATTATGATCTGATATACATTTGCTTTGTACTAACAAAGGCTGCAGCCAGATTTTAACTTATAAAAACGCTGGACTACAGTGTTCATAAAAATCATCCAGTAGATTTATTCAAGGTTTTGGTTTTTTTTAGTCTTGGTCTTGGCAAATTTAAGATGTTTGGATTTTAACTTCCAGAATTCAACTTCAACTCTAGATGGGGAATTCTGGGAGCTGAAGTTCATGCGTTTTAAACTGGCCAACACCTTCAGAGATTACAATCCTCCCAACTGTAATAAAATCAGCATTATTTTTCTTTCTCAAATCATGTTAAAAGCTTCTGGTATACAGCTGGATATGCTTCTGTATATATGTGGAGGCTCTATCTAGTTTCTGAGGACATAAGTAGCTGTCTCTGCCACTAATTTGTTACTGATCTATGTTCAAAGTACTTCTATTGATATAAAGCTCTCTGTGGCTTAGAACTTGGATACCTAATTAATCTGAATATTTTTTTATCTTGAATATCAGACCCATCATTAAAATGCAGTTGCAATCTTGATGGCGCCACTGAAACTTGGCCAGTGCTCACTGTCCTGAAAATGGAATTCCCTCCCAGTCCAACTGCAAATGATGCCAAGTCTTAGAAAACTTTAGTTCCTGCTGAAAATTTAATTGTTTATCCAACTGGATCTATGCTGCTGAGTCTCATGTTATCTCTTTTTGTTATCTTGATCTTAAGATGTTGCAATGTTGTGGCTTAATCATTTTAACAGTGTTGCCCTTTTATCCTATTTTGTACTGCTTCTTTGGAATTCATAGTGAAAAACAGTTTGTACATTTACAGGAATACACATATGTACATAAATACATACATATGATGGAATGATTGGATGGAATGATTACTCACAAACAAATTTGTTGCCATGACCACTATAACTTGGTTACAGCTTAATTATACCTGGCATGAATATGTCTTTTTCTCCCTTCTTTTTGTAGCTTATCTGGACTATTATCAGTAAATGACCATTTGTAAATGAGTAAGAAAAAAGAAACCCAGAAACATAATGATATAGATTTCATTTTTTGTGTATCGTGTTGTATTGTTCTGACTTGCCATTGTACTTTGAGGGAGTCAGCCTTAAGAATCCCTCTTGCAAAGCTGTCTCAGAACTGAAGAGTCCCTCTAGAAGTTTTCTAAAAATACCCTAAATACCCTTTTGAGATCTTCTCTCTTCCCCACATGACCTTCCTCTTGACAGGAACCATGCCTCTCTACAATGTCCATCAAAGCTAACTTGGCCAGTGTCAGCCACAGTTCCCCATAATCTCCCAGGAGGTATAGTGGTGCCAGAAGTGACAGAAGACTTTATCCACATCTCTGAAATATAAACAATATTCCAGAATAATGACAAGAGCTGCATTAGCAACCAATACTTTTTAACCATTTTGGTCCAGATAACGTTAAGAAAAAAAATACTATCATTGATACCTGGCGCGGGTCTTCAACACATTTTTATCCTTATCTACTGTAGCAAAGTACCTCAGTGAACAGCAAATTTCAGACCTCTTCTCTTTTTTGTCTTTCAGAGGGACAGGATTTTTTTTTTTTTTCTGTAAGCTTCATGTTTCTACAAAAAGAAAAAAAAAGATCAAACATCTTGCTGGGTTTAGGATAGAAAGCCTGGTGATCAGTTCAAATAGCATGTAAACAGTGTCAGATTCTTGCAGAAAATGACTATGGCTGTCAAATCACTTCAAAAAAAGGGGGGGGAGCGAAATGGATTAACTGTCTGCCTTTTAATTCGTTCTTCAATTAATCCATGAAATTCATGCACATGTTGCAAGACATTACGATAGATGCCTTTTAAGGATTTTGAAGAATAGCTTCCTAGAAATTTACTTTGAATGGAAAATGGGTTTCCTAGAAAAAAAAACAGACTTGCCATTGGCACTCATGCCCCAGTACTTCTTATCAGTTATGTCGGACAACCAAAGATACAGGTGCATGGTTAGGGAGGATTGGGGCAGTATATCACTTATAATTTGCTACTTTTGCTAAATGCACTAATGCACAATGTATTCCAGTAATATCTATGTGTATATATATATGTATGTATATACACATATACGCTTAGGTATGGATGGATAAAGATGATTTTATAGGCAGGAGAGGAGGTGGGGATGGTATTCTGATGATCAGACAAAATATGGACTGCATAAAAGCACTGTTTACATAGGAGGTATCTAATTAGCACTGCTTACATAGGAGGTATCTAATTAACACCTGTAACATTTTATCTCACTCTAAAACAGAAAATGTTTTTCATTCCAGTTCATAAAAAATAATGCAGTTCACATTACAAGTTTTCATATCAATTTTTTTTTAAAAAATGTTCGTGTCTTCTAGAAAAGAATTTATTTCCAGTTGTGAATCAAAGCTTACTTTTTCCAGAAAAAGTGAGTTACTGCTCTGCTTGGCTTACTGAGATGCAAATTCCTTATTTGGCAATAATAACCTATTCTTATACCTTATTTTTCTTCTTTGTCATCTTCTCCCACTCATAATCTGTGACAGAAACTTTTTCTAGGGCTGTATTCTGGTAGAAATAAACAAGGAGAAACAATAGATTTCAAATCCCCAAATGAAATTCAATTTAAGTTAAAACGTAGCAAGAAACAACTATATACATGTTTGTTTTAAACCTTAAAAATTTTAATCAGATTAATTATGACTCCATCCCATGCTACGCCCTACTAAAGCCAGCTTGCATAGAAAATGTAATGGGACTTCTTAAAGATGGTCAAACAAAGGTTTGGATGGATGGCAAGAGAAGGGGAGTATTCTATCATTGTACAGACAGGCAACCTGAGGATGGTGCATTGATACTGGCATTGTAGCTCCAAAGAGGAGCACAGGAAATTAAAGTAATTATTTTTCACAAGCAATGTAGCATGCATCACAGCTTATTTTGTTGGCTTGTTTTTCTCTTTAAGCATGATAACTCATATTTTCTAATCAGCATGTATGTAGGCACTCTAAAGGGTGAATCAGGATGACCTTACAACCAAAACTTTTTACTATAATTATGGATTAATTATACATCTAAATAGCAAGTAGCCAAGTAACAACAATTTTGTGATTCTAATAAAAGCACTGTACCTTCCTAAAACAGAGTATATTTTTGAAATGTATTGCCATATTGCCACTTTTATCAGCCATGCTGGTTTGGGAAGATAGGAATCAGAGCTTAGTATATCAGAACATAAAATTAGGAAAAGTTGTTTTAAAAATAAATAGAAGACAGTATTCAAGAATGAGAATATAACTTTGACAATTAACTGGATCCTCATTATTGGAAATAGTCTTCCTACTTACTTAATCAGTAGGAGATTGCTGGAGAATTATGCAAAGAGAGTTGCAGCTTCCAAACTCGATGTGGAACCATGACATTGCTCACTAGGAGAAGCAAGATACTATACCTAGCTTGACCTCTCATTAATCCAACTTCTTATATTTAAGATAAGATAAGATAAGATAAGATAAGATAAGATAAGATAAGATAACCTTTATTGTCATTTTTTTTTACTGTGGGCACAATGGCACACATCAAAAATGAAATTTAGTTGCCCGCTCTCAAAAGTGAAACACATACATGACACACACCTAAACATACTATGAACAACATATGTACAGACCCACATCCCTATATATATATGTAGCAAATAAATATTAAATACTGTCCATCTTTAATATATAACGGAAGGAGGAAGCTTGAGAGTTCACAAGGTTAATGCTGTATGGGATAAAACTATGGCTGAATCTGGATGTTCTGCTACGGATACCACGAAGCCTCCTCCCAGAAAGTAACAAGGAAAACAGGTTGTGAAGAGGATGTGAAGTGTCCCAGATTTCTTTTATTTTATTTTATTTATTTAAAATATGTATATAACTTAAATCTGGATATGTTCTATGGGGAATATTTTGCACGTGAACAGATACATTCAACCACTGAGGTTAGAATACAAAAAAAAAAAACTACTGGTCTTTTTTACAAATGAAACAAAAAGGTTTCAATAGCTTTCATTTGAATTGGCTACCACAAATCCAACTCCAATCCCAAAATAAAAATATGGTAATAATAAATCCTGCAGTTTCCCCTAGACTCCATCCAAATGACATGAAATGGAGTCAATCATAATAGAGTATTTATCAGAGGCTCACACTTCAGAAGCCTCTGGCACAGCTCGAGATGTTGGAAGCCAGCCAAGGCTCAGCCAAGGATAACAAAACAGCTTTCATTCAAGTATTCCAAGCCAATTAAAAAAGACAAATTAGCAGTGTCCTTATCTCTACCTCCTTCTCCCCTTTCCATTCCAGAGGAGTTCTGGGGAAGGAATGTTTCTCATTCTGAATTGCTGGGCCTCTCTGAACTTCTTCAAGGTCTGTGATGGATAGAAATCTGTTCTTGTGTGCATCAAATGTCTTATGGCAGCAACGAATCAAAATAATGGTAAAGCTTGGGACTTGCAAATAGAAGGGAAAATTGAGATGCTATAAGAAGAAGGTACCCCACATATTATACTTCATGGCCTTTAACTGAGAGCCATTAATGATGCTGCCCTAAAATTAATTTTAATTTTAATTAAGCAAGCAAGAAGTCTGCTAGACTAATCCAAAATCCTGGTTTTAGCAGTGGGCAACTGATGCCTCTTAGAAAAAGGCCTGAAGATAATAATCTCACTTGCATGTGCGTGCTTCAGTTGCTATTCAGTAGCTTGTTATACAAAAATAGCTTGAGGTCTTCTCTAAATCATTAAAAAAAGCAACATAACTTATTCTGGTTCATGAATAGGATGATCATATTTGTTTCTTAGTATGAAGATGGTAGCAATCTGGAAATAGTTGATGTACTTATTATCTTTGGTATGCAATGGTTAAAAGATGGCTTAAAATCACACTCATCTTTGCTAGAAAATGTTGTGTTTGTAAAGTAATTAAACCAACATCAAAGTATCTCAAGTGGTGGCTGCCCTTGCTTGGAAGATTTCCAGTGAAGGACAGTCTATTATCTTTCTACATAATTGGCTTCATCACAGTTACCTACAGTAAATAATTGTTGGAAGCCAGCCGAGAAGGTTATAAACGATGATCACATGATCCCGGGATACAGCAACTGTCATTAATACAAGGCAGTTGCCAAGAACCTGAATTTTGATCATGTGACCATGGGGATGCTACAACAGTCATAAGTGTGATAACCGATCACAAGTCACTTTTTTCAGTGCCATTGTAACTTCAAACAGTCACTAAATGAATGGTTCTTGAGGACTACCAGTATTGGAATTGGGAAGATTTATAACGTCCTGAGCAAAATATAAAAAGTATTGCTTTTCCTTTGTATATCATCACTGGTATGTATACTGTGATTATTAAGTGGTTAAAGAACAGTGTGATATGACTGCAAAACAATACTGTATTTCAATCAAAATGTAGTTCCTAAATCTCAAGAAATACCATTCCTAATATAGTCCACAATAGTCAGACCCTATTTCAAGTACCATGTCCAGTAGTGCATATTATGGATTCAGAGAATTTGAAATAGTTTACTCAGACATTTGAAGTTTATAAGTCTGAAAGGAGTGTTATCTTGTGTAAAGACAAGGGGGATTTTAAATGCCTGATATTCTCTCATTTTGTTTATCAAGGAACAAATGGCAGGACTTCTGACTATGATATTTAGACAAATCTGTATCACAAACAGCTGTTCATCAAAACCTTGGTTTAGTATCTTATTTATCTCAAACTGTTGGATTAAGAATAAAAGATTCAGGCTTATACACCTCCCCTCAACTTGATGACTTGGGACAGTAACTGTCTCTTAATCCAATCAATCTCACAGAATTGTGTCTATGGGGATTTCTTGGTGTTTTAAGTTCCTGAAATAAAAACAAGCTGTAAAGCTATAATATAATTTAGTAAATAAATAATAAGTCATAATCAAAGGCTTCAATCTAGTTCTCTAATTAAAAGGTTAGAATTGCAATTTCTTCAGCCCTAGTATAATACTTGAATAAATATATGTCACATTAAAAAATTCTAATCTTAAGTGACCCCTTTCTTATTCCCTGAGGTTTGGTGGCTGTGTCACAAGAGATTTCTGCTTAACAAAAGCAGAAACTCTTCATTTAAACAGCTGGTTGGAAGTTTTATGGTCTTGAAAGACCAGTGTTCAAAAAGACAAGTTAGTCTGAATTCCAGCCCTTGCAAAATATTTCCCCAAGTTGATGAGGTGAAGTGTCCTTGGACAAGAGTGATTATTCAAAGATCTGAGATGAGGTGAGTGCAGACCAACATGGGATCAAAATACTCCTCTTGATAAGCCATCAGGTTCAAGCAAGTGTCAAAAGAGGTTCAGTGGTTAATTGGATGGCTGTTATCTTTCCCAAATGATTTGGAAGTATGAAGGAAAATATCTAAGAACTTTCCTGTTATTAACTTCTTAACTGTTCCTTTCAATTAGCATCAGAATGAAAATTACTGTGGTTCTGGAAAAGTCTCAGCATGGTCACAAATGACTTGCTTATGTTGGATTTCAGGTAGTTGAGCTCTGGACTGAAATTCAGAGAGATGTTGTTTCTCAAGCATTGATAAAAGAAAGGAAAAGATTCCTCCTTCTCATAGGGATATGCTGGATCATTAATGTATATACAACTGAATCTCTCTGGATGGCTTCCTCTTGAAAGAAAAGGGTTTTTGCCATTGTGCCATTTGACTTCCAAATGTGCATCTATACTAGTGTTGAGGTATTTTTCTGGTCCAACATTGTCTCTTTCTTGAGGCATGGGAAACAGATCAGGAATAGGGAATCAA